TGAGATGATATCTCATTGTGGAGTGCATCTTTTTAAAAAAATTTTTTATTTTATTATTTTGTGTGTCAAATCAGATCTGACTGGTACAGGAGAAGATTGTCCACCCTTTTCCACCAGAGCATCTGATGGATTCAAACCGCGTGCCTCTGGGATTGCAGTGCAGCTTCTTGCCAGTAGGCTACCAGAGCTCCCCAAGGGAGTATATCTTTCCCAGTAGTTTAATGTGGGTTGCAGAATTGAGTCCCATTGCTTCTTTCTGATCCAGTTGTCATACTGAGGATGAAATAAAACTACCCTAATTGGCCTGGGATATATATGCATTCACTCGGAGGAGACCAAAAGTGGTTGGTTAGCTCCACTCAAACCACATAGCCTGAGAGACAGAAAAGATTTTTCCTGAGGAATCTAAAATAGTAAGAACAGCAACAACAGAATAGATGAATAAAAAAACTACATGAGTTGATCACAACTCATGATGACCCTATATTGAATTCTAAGGCTATAAATATTAACAGGAAGAAATTACTCATAATTCTCCTGGGGCCTCGTGTGTTTAAACTGCTGACCTTTCTGTTAGAGCCAAACACTTATTCTACATATCACCAAGGTTCTTTGAATTACACATACTGGGATAATTTATCTCAATGTAAATTTACCACAGTGTAAGTACTCTGTTAAAGCTTAATCAGAAGAATAGTTATAAATGGCAATGGGAGGGATTTTAGTAATAGAATTTCAGAAACTCTAAATACAAATCAAAATTACATAAAGCAAATTATATTTTCTCTCTGATTTCTATTATGAAATCACAACTGATTATACTTTTTGAAAAAATATAAACTTTTTATTTTATACTGGTTTTCTTACAAAGTTGGTATACATTGTTTTTCATACTAGATCTTTCCCATTTTCTTATCCCCCCCCCCCTTTCCACCATAGTACAACTGATTTTGTACTCTTATGGGGAAAAATCTAACAGATTTTCTGAGTTGGAAACATATGATAAAAAGAAGTTATGATAGCTACAGATGTATAAAGTATACAGACTTTGTAATATATCAGTGGTAAAATGTCTGTGACAATTATTACCACATACCAAATCACTTTGGGACTCTTAGAACTTGGAAGCTATTTCTTTTCTCTACCTTAGTAGACAACTCGTTTACTCTTCTTAAAAACATGACGTTATATTTTTCTATACAAGGATTGTAAGAACTTCTCCATCTATCTTGCAAAGAAGAGTAAACTGTAACCCTAGTTTGACGTGTTGCCAATAGGGAAGGTATCAAATTCACGTTCTTCTACAGCCTGAAACTCCTTAAGAGCAGAGTTTCTTCTTGCATAAATGATCAAGGGACACAGAAAACCAAGGCTACACAATGTAGGAACACATGCAGAGAATTCTTGTGCTGTTTGGAAGCAAAAAGTAAAGTGGGAAGGCAGAAAAGAATATGGAGAGACGGGTACAGTCCTCAACAGTGCCATGGGTGCCAAATGAAAGAAACCAAGTAAAGAGAAAACAGAACCTAGATGGTACTAAAATCACAGCCCACACTGTAGAAAACAGATCGCATAGTCAGCCAGATTGTTGTTTAAACAGGAAAATGGAAAATACAGTGATGGATTTTTCAAGCATTTATTATGCCTTCTTGTTTGGAAAATGAAAAAATCCAAGAGGGTGATGATGTACAGAATGGTTTAGGTAGAGATGGGGATAAGCAGCCTTGTCATCCTAGACATATTTTTAGTTTTGTATTTCCTTCCTTCCTTTCTTTCTTGCTATTCTTTTTTTTAACTGCCACACTCCCTTTTCTAAGAAATAGAACTTAAGGAATTTTGAGACTAGATATTTTATTTTGGTGGTATCTTGGGGTGTACCTATCCTTTTGTACCCTGCATGCCGATGAAGTTTGCCTGGATTTGGGATTAGATTGTATGTTTAGTAGATACTGGTATAAATGGAAGGAGCCCTGGTGGTGTAGTGCATGTTGCACTTCTAGCTGGAAAGTCAGCAGCATGAATTTACTAGCTGCTCCTCAAGAGGAACATGAAACCATATGCTCCCATAACGATTTACAGCCTCAGAAGCCCAAAGGAGGGTTGCCTTGAACCCAGATCAATTTGACAGCTGTGAGTTTGATCTGGTTTTGGTGTGGATGTGACATGGAACTAGCAAGTCCTAGAAAGGTAGACTCAAGAATAGGCTACTCTATGGAGCTCTGGTAGCCTAGTGGCAAGAAACTGCATTGTAATCCCAGAGGTGCATGGTTCAAATCTACCAGATGCTCTGCTGGAAAAGGAGGAGCTATCTCCTCTGGTTCCAGTCAGATCCAATTTGACGGTACAATCACAAAAAAATTAAAAATATAATAAAAATAGGCTACTCTGGTTTCTGTTAGTCAGGAAGCTCAAATCTAATACTGATCATGCCCATAATGTTTTTGCAAGTATTGTGAGAATTACTCTCCTTATTGACAGTTTTGTAGAGATAAATTATATTAAAATAGCGAATTGCTGCAAAGACAAAAGATGGCTTACTCTGTGCTTCAGGCTGATATGTTAACCAGAGCAATACTGGTCCCAGACATGATCAGAAGGGTTCCTTCATGGTATACAACCCAGTCTTTGCCCAGTACTTTGTGAAATGCTGCCATGATACGTACTCATCTAGCTTCTGCTTAAAAAGAGTACATAATTCATAGATCATAGAATGTCAGTGCTAGATGTGATCATTTAGGGCTGGGACTAGAATCATCCAGGACTGTGAACTCCCCAGCCCATGCTCGTTCCACTTTCTGTGTTGTCTCTAAATAAAGGGCAGCCTTTGCTGGTGGAATTTAAAGGTGAGTTTTTATGTTTGCTTGTTTATGCCTACACTGTCTGGTTCATCAGCCTTTAAATCCTAAATCGTGATGAATATTTCTTTTTATTTTTAACCCAGGTATTGCCCTGCTGTCAGATGCCTACCCTGAAAAAATCTTGGTTGGCCTTTTGGCTCAGTATGATAGCAGTAAAGACAAGAGCACACCAGTGACCAGAATGAAAGTGGGAGAAGTCCTAATGCGAATTGTCAGAGCACTGGGTAAGTTTTCTGGTTCTATTGGTCTGGAAAGGGGTCAGGGTTAGTCGTTTG